CGCCGTCGCCGCCCGCGCCGCCCGCCGCCTTGGGGGACGAGGAGCTGCGCGCGGCCTCGGAGGGGCCCGGGCCGGAGCCCCGCGGACCCCCGGGCGCCGGGGAGCCGGGCGCCGCGGTCTCCGGCATGGATCAGTGCGTGACGGTGGAGCGCGAGCTGGAGAAGGTGCTGCACAAGTTCTCGGGCTACGGGCAGCTGTGCGAGCGCGGCCTGGAGGAGCTCATCGACTACACCGGCGGCCTCAAGCACGAGATCCTGCAGAGCCACGGTGAGGCCGGCCGCGGGGTCGGGGCCCTGCGCCGCCGCCGTCCGCCCGCGCCGCCCCGCTCCCTCGCCGCCTCCTCCCGGTCCCCAGGCCGCGGCGACTGTGCCCCTTCGCGCGGACCCCCCCGGAAACGCGGTGGCCTGGGGGGCGGGGAGCGCTCGGCTGCTCACGCCCGGCCGGGGGGCTGGCGCGGTCCTGCGGGCCGCAGGTGGTGCGGGCGGGGAAGAGCGCCGTCCCCGGCCTCCTCGCTCCCGGAGACTTTTTCCTGGTGGCCCTGGGGTTAGAGAGTTGGATGTTCTTAGCTGTGAGTTTCCGCATCAGTCGCCTCCTGCAACTTGAGAGTTGGACTGGGGCGGGCAGACAGCTCTTCTGAGCTCCCGATTCCTACGAAGCCGGCCGGGAAACCGTTCAGCGCTCTGTGGAGACCGGCGCAGCAGTTGTCGAGTTGCTAGTTACTTGCCTTACCTGGTCCAGTGGGTACTTGTTAATAATCCTTTCAGAAGACGGGTTTTCCGTAAAAAGTGTTGAGCCTAGATTTTAGATGCCAGGGCTAACTTGAGAAAGGGTTTCGTGTTTTAAAAATAAGATTAAAGGTCTGGTACTCTGGAGCCACGAAGCTGTCTCTTTCTGATTGAGGGGCAATATAATGGATTCATTCAAGAGGCCGGTCTCTTGTTTGTTTCGGGAGAACAGAAATTAAAGGGATGTTTGCTAGTCGAGGGAGAAATGCCTACGTAGCGGGTGAGATTGAGGTGATGTTAGCCCTGCCTCTCTCCTTTCCTCTACACCTTCTCCCAGACATTTCAGTTGAGGGTGACTGCTCCTTCGTAGGTCAGGAGTCTGACAACTTCTGACAGTTTTCACTTTGGAACTCTGAGAAAGAGCTAAGCTGAAGCCATTATGGTTGAAATATTAATAAGGGGGGGGGGAATTATTTTAACTGTAGCAATCGTTTTTCTATAAATAGACGGAAAACATGTTGATGGCTGCATGTGAAAATATTATTGGACTGAATTGGTGGTGGTGATACAGTTGATCACACGGAAAAAGGTGGGGTGTGAGGAAATCTGGTGAATTTTTTATAAAGCTCAAGGGTTTAATGAAGATAGAGTAAATGTCTTGGGAGTACATTTGACACTAAAACTGGTTGATTTCTATTGTGTGTGGTGTTCTTAGAGTGTCACAGTGTGGCCTGGGCCAGCTTTGAACTTATGGTCCTCCTGTTTTCATCTTTCTAGTGTTGGGATTACCGGTGTGCCACCTCAGTTTTCAGATGCTTTTAAGAGGACAGTGGAGAAGATCGAGGGATTGAGATAAAGATCTTAGGCTCTAAACACAGTCAGGGTAGAGCAGATGGGAAAAGAGCAGAAAGGGAGAGAGAGAGAGATTTCTTAGTCGCTACCTGACTCTTTCATGGACAAACCAGATTATTTCAGGCTAAGGAAAATATAGTGCATACTGAAGTGGGAGGCTATCAATCCAAGGTGGTTATTTAAGTCCTTAAAGACACCATCTTTCCCCAGAGAACATCTTTGTCTTTTCACCAAAAAGGAAGATGCCAGTAGGGAAAGAGAATGAATATAGGGTCTACAATTGGAGAGGTGGAAGGACTGTTTCTTTTTGGAAACCAGATCCAAGATTGAGGGGTTATTTGAGAGAGAAAAGGTGGAAAACAGAGTCCCTTCCAGAAGAGAGAACATAGTAGGAGAGAGATGTGATTTTGAGGTTTGTTTTAGGGAAAATTATAGCCAGTCCCAGATGGGTAAAATGATTGCAAAAATTGCCAACTTTTTAGGTCTCTTTGCTTGGTAGGGGAACTTTTCACAAAACCTATGGTGTGAGGGATAGCAGCCACAGTATACAGTGCTATTGTAACTCATAGTTGTGCTTGTTCTGTTGATTTTTCAGCCTCTTTTGTTTACATTCCTGTGTAACAAATGCCAGTCCTCAATGGCATCTCTTAATTTCCTTTAATAAGTTAATAGGATTAAGTGATGAAAGGTAGTTAAAAACATGAAAGAAATACATACAAATAGGTCTGGTTTCTAAGGTAGTCTGTTTTGTTTCTTTTGGTATTCTTTTGAGTGAAGATAAACATGCTTTGGATTTGGTTATGGGCTCTGACCCCTGCAGGGATTTCTCTGTGTAGCCTTGGCTGTCCTGGACTTGCTGTGTAGACTAAGCTGGGCGCAAACTCACAGAGATCTGCCTGCCTCTGCCTACCCTGAGTGCTGAGTATTACAGACATGCACCACTGGACAGGGGTGGCTATGGGCTTCTTGAAGCAGTTAATTTTTAAATTAAAGTTTCATACAGGTGGTGGGCAGTGGACACATTGAATCTTTAAGTATGTGCCTTTCAAAGTTACACCTGAAAGCAGGTTCCCTTCCTCTTTTAAGGCTATTGTGATCTGCAAGAGGCTCCGAATTGGGGTCTTCTGTCAGGCTTCTCTGGATCTCATGCTCCAAGCTTATGCCTGGTAGGTAGTATTCCTGAGAGAAGAGAATGAGTAAAGTAGAACCTTGAGGACTGTAAACACCCTGCCAGATTGGATCATTGTATCATTGGAAGGCGACTTCCTGTTTCAGAAGCATCTTTTACCAGTATTGGGAGATTAGTCCAACTTTAAAGACATAATTTCTTAGGTTTACTTTGAGTCTGTAGTGGCATGTCTGAGGCAGAAGGGATAGCAGACAACTATAATGAGTATGGTTAGAAAATTTGTGTTGGAAACTGGTTGTACTTAAATGGAATTAGTAAACTCTTTGACAGGTTGTAGATACCACCCTGGGGGACTGCTCTGGAATTAGTCCTGCTGTGAGCTCAAAATTGCCGCTCTGCAACCTAAAAATTGATTCATGTAAAATTTTTCTATTAGCTATCTCTTTAAAAATTTTATTTTTAGATTTATTTATTATATATACAGTATATGTGTTCTGCCTGCATACATGCCTGCACACCAGAAGATGGCACCAAATTGCATTATAGATGGTCGTGAGTCACCATGTGGTTGCTAGGAATTTAACTCAGGACCTTTGGAAGAGCAGCCAGGTACCCTTAACCTCTGAGCCATCTCTCCAGCCCACTATCTCTTTTTAAAATGTAATTTTCTTAATGCATATACTTAAGGAGAATGAGGTGGTTTTGGGATAGTCACATCCTTAGTTCATCAGCTTGGAAAAGGTGTGGGAACAATTGTTATTCTTTTCTTTGTTTTTTAATGTCCCACTACTGCTAGAAGAATAATATTGGATTATAATTGTGAGAAGGAAATGCAGGCTTTGAGTTTGGGTGGATCTAGGGCAGCTAAGGTGGGTAATAGGAGTTTGAAGGGTCAGTAGAGGCTAGAGAGCTTAGGGAAATCTGGCAGAACTGGGCCATTCATTTTCATGAAGCCTATGCCAGAGACTTCTCTTTGTTGCCTTGGATAGGGCACAAAGGCAGGAGGATGGGCCCCAGTGGGGTGCCCAAGGTGAAAGGGATAGACATGGTTATTCATGGCAAATGGAAAACAAGGACCTGTATGCTTGGCTGGGAAAGTGAAACCACTTTTTAACCTTCTTTGTCAGAAGTTCAAGAATTGTATTGAGGTCTGCTGCTTAGCCTGAATGTTTTTGATTGAAGTTCACTTTCATCAAATCCTCACCTAAAGGGAGAGGTGCACACTCCTGTATTTAGCTGTGTCCACCTTTCAGTGGAAGTTGTCTCAGAAGGGAGAAACTGGCCCCAGCATAATATCATTGTTGATGCTGGTTGGGGATCTTTTCCAGGATGCCCATGGGTGATGCTGATGTGGGTGTGCTTTACTCAGTTTGTACGTGGACTTGTGGGTTTACTTAAGTAGATTTAGCCTTCGTTCCAGACACTGGTGCTGGTGAGGTCATAGACTGGATATTGGGTGTAATAAAAGCACACCTTGCCTTTACTGATCTGGCTTGTGATAATTCTGCTTCTCCTCCCCACCCTTTTTACCATTTTCCTAGTGGGAATTACATTTTTGTTGTTGTTAGCATTTTGTGATGGAATGAAGAGCAAAAATGAGGCTGACAGCCAGACTCAGTGGCACAGTGCTGTGGAGCCCTCAGGAGGCAGAGGCAGGCTGATAGCTGTGAGTTCCAGGCTAGCCTGCTCTACAAAGAAAGTTCAGGACAGCCAAGGTTACACAGAGAAACTCTGTCTCGAAAAAAAAAAACAACAAACAAAAGACTGAAACAATTTTGTAACAGTTTCACAATTGCCTAAAATATATTTGGGGAAATTATACTTGGAAGAGTTAAGGGTGAGGCATATTATTTTTCGGTTGTTTTTATACTATTACCAAAAGGAATCTGGCTGTACTGAGAATCAAAGCCAGGACCTTATGACTGCTAGGCAGGCTCTTGACCACTGAGCTATGTTATATATCCCAGCACTTAAAAGGATTGCTCGTGCTTTTTCAAATCTTAATTTTATTTGTTTGAGTAGATAATAGATGCAGAGTGTTTGAACCCAAAATAAAGTAGGCTCCCTGGGAACATGCTTCCCACTGTTCTTGTTGCAGCACCTTGTTGTCTAACTGAAGTCAAAGGTGCTAGTTTTCAGACAACTTAAAAAGATGGCTTGCCCAGCTCTTCAGAGAATGGGGGCAGTAGGGTAATGTGTCAGTTTTTAAAATAGCATTGGCTGTGTAGCTACACTTACTATAATCATGTTTTGTGAGTTGATTAAAGACACTATTGTGTTTGGAGTGATAACACATAAAAAAATCTTACGCAACTTTTTGCATTTACTTATTTATTTGGGGTGTGTGAGTGTATGTGTGTGTGTAGGTGTGGGAGAATGTCACAGAACACAGGTGACAGAGGACAACTTGGACAACTTAGGTCATCAGGCTTGGCAGCAAGCCTTTAGTTGAGCCTTCTTGCTGGCCCATATATTATTAGCATCTTAAAACTAGTGTCAGTGTGTGTACTTGTAATTGTAAAGCTTAAACTATGACTCCAATATGATGTTAATATTAATAG